TCATTGTGCTCCAAGGGGTTTGCAGGACTCAGCCCAGTATGACTTTCATTTCAGATGGGCTCACAGAAGTCAGTATTATTTATCATATTTCATTGTTTTGCTGACAATATTCAAACACTTAACTCTGTCACATTGATCATACCAAGCCCATCTTTGAAACTCTCCATTGGTTACCCCTTCATCTCTGCATCAAATACAAGCTCCTTGTCTTATCTTTAAGGCCTTTCATAACTTTTAACACTGTATCTATGTATTTTGCTAATCTATCATGATATCAAGCCTCACTTAGTTCCACCAGCATTCCTAGCCTTTGCTCCCTACCTGTCTTCTTCTTCCTTAAACACCTCTATGCTTTCTTCTAGCTGCTTCTTATGCATTGGAAAAACTCCCTGATAAAATCCAAGCAGCCGTGACCTCATCTTCCCTCAACTCCCTCCTCTGCTATGAAGTTTATAAATCCCACCCTGATGCTCATGGCTAGACAGTTGACAGACAGTGACTACTGCTTTTCCTGCCTTTCTTTTCCCTGCTCCTTTCCTCTCTACCTCCACTCCCAATTTAAAAAAAAAAAGAAATATAATACAAGTATCTAAAATAACTGTGGCAATTCTATATCAGGTTTATGTCCTGTATGTTGTATCCTCACCCCCTACCCTTAATCTGTTTGTGTTTTTAACCTGTAAGCCCTTAAGGACAGGAACTTTCTCATTTGTATTTGCAGAGCACACAGCACAATGGGGCCTGAGTCTGACTGGGATTTTGGGCTGCTACCAGAAACAATAATATGGGCAGCTGGACTGATGTTTCCTTGTTAAATACTATTTTGGCTCCCCAGATTGGACACACTGTACTAAGTGATCTGACCTTTGATATTTAAAAAGGGATTACTTGTTATTATGGTGATACTATGGTGAGGCGGTTCATATAAATGAGAATAAGCAAAAGATAAAGACAGAGGGATAACTTTCCTGGGGCAGCAATATGGTGAAGAGGTTTTACCTTAATTTAATATGAATGTATGGAATGTCTAATATATGCCCCCGTAATGTTATCTGTTGATCCTAACTGAAAAATGTGCATGTTTTCTCACATTCACCTTACTTCCATATATAAACATAGAATCCTCTGTGTTTTTACTAACACTTCACTAATTAGTTTGCTTATTGATCACTGTAATTCATCTGGATGGCCTCTATGTCTATTCTTGGTAGGCAATTAAAACACTACACCATGGGATCAAGGTTAAATGCAAGAAATGAGTTCATAGGCACTAACCATCATACAAAATAGCTGGGAAGCACAGAAAAGGGAGAGATAGATACCATGTCATCCCACCTGCCCTATTGTATAGTATGGACACTTTATCCATACATGGCAAATAGAATCAAATTATAATTATTCTTTTGAACAACATACAACACATTCAATTATTTATGTATTTAGTTCTAAATAATAATCTTTAAAAATGCCGATCCAAGTCTCTAGATGCCCTAACACACCATTCATAAAACAATCAAATTGCAGCAGCATTGAACTAATCATTTCAACGGGCATGCTACTAGCCAGCCACTTACAGAAACTCCTTTGCACCCCTCCTTCGTTGTGGGCAACATACCCTCAGACTTCTCCAAAAATCTTATCAAACAGATGTTTGTTACAGCAAGCTTAGGAGGATGCCAAATTTAAAATATTTATATAGATAACTTCAGTATCATTGTGGTGGGGCAGCTGCCCCACAAAGGGAGAAGAAGAGGTTAAAAGCAGCACCAGGGAGGCTGCACAGAACCAACGAATCAGGAAACGGTTTATTGAGCCCACCAATAGGGAGAAGGCTTGCTGAAGCAGTCGATCAGGGCTGGCAAGGACCATATATAAAGGGCTGCTCAGCAGAACAGAAGGAAGTCTCCCCCTGGAAGGCAAGGGAGGAGGACTGGCTGCCTGCCTGAAGAAGTGCCATAGATAGCACAGTGCTTAGCAGGGGCAGCAGAGTGCGAGGGTGAGCCGCTGGCTGACCTCTGCCAGGCTGGGGCCTTGCTACAAGGGCTGAGAGGGTGCTAGGGCTATGGGGGAAGTGGCCCAGGGAAAATAGACATCAGGTTGGAGGAGCTGTAGGGTCCCTCGGTAGGGACCTAGAGTAGTGGGCGGGCCTGGGTCCCCCCCTTGCACCCCACTTGCCAATGAGGTGAGTGGCCAGGATCCAGACTGCAGTTTGCCCCTGAGGTGAGGGGATGGACCTTGGACTGCAGTTGGCCGCGGAGGCAAGTGGCGGGACTAATGACTGCCAGTCCCCTGCAAGGGGGGAGATACCGGAGTGGGGCACTGCCGGATGATTGTGCCCAGAAGAGGATGCTGCAGTCAAGAGAGCAATGTGGGTCCAAAGAGTAGAGATAGCAGTGACAGCACGTGTGACACCATTAGCTGAAGGTGGACTGGAAAGGCCGAGAACTAATTCCCAGGATGGGCAGCAGGAGGCACCATGGTGGTGAGTTCTACTTTATCACAATCATGATACAGAGTCAGTACTAAATCTATACCAAATAGAATTTTCAAGTAAAACAAAATATAAATATTTTAGGGCACCCATTTTTAGATACTTATTAATTAAAAGCTGTGGAGGCAGAATAATTCCCACTATCACCAATAGTTAATTAAAAAAAAATACAAAGTACAATACTGGCAATATTTTCTTATAAACAGGCTCAATTACACACACACACACACACACACAGGTTCAGCCGATGGCGGTTCCCAGAGGACGCGGTTCGCTGCTCCAGGCCAATGGGAGCTCCTGGAAGTGGTGGCCAGTACATCCCTTGGCCCGCGCCACTTCCAGCAGCTTCCATTGGCTTGGAGCAGCAAACAGTGGCCACTGGGAGCCGCCATCTGCCGAACCTGCGGATGCGGCAGGTAAACAAACTAGCCCGGCCCGTCAGGGGCTTTACCTGCACAAGCGACAGAACAAGTTTGGGAACCACTGTTCTAGAGGCAGAGAAAACAACTGGAGAACAAGGAGTCCTGATACGAGGATACCAGTAGAGAATGCGTCTTTATAGGCAGAGTGGAAATTCAAACCTATGACTCTGATATCCCAGATGAATGCCCTAACTACTGGGCTATTGGGTGTTCTGCTGACACATCCATGGACCAGCCTCAAAAATTCAAGATCTGCTTGCCCCCAGCTGTCTTTTAGGAGGGTTAGGCATGCTCAGTGCATGCCTATTGGATCAGACCCCACAGACAAGATAGGTAGGGGAACACCTAGTTTGAGAATCCTGTTGGGGCTTACGCATATCCCAGAACTGCAAGCAGCTCAAATTAGCTGTAGGACCATTGTGAGAACTTCAGCAGCTTTGGGCAGGCATACCAGTGGAAATTTAGGCACGTATGAGGATTTAGGTGCCTACTGGGTTAGGCAGCAGCAGAGCAGTGGATATTTGAATGTCAGTAGTGCTTACTTTTTGGACTTGGGCATCTATGAGGGCAGTTAGGCACCTAAGCCCCTTTGTGAATCTAGCTCACAGTGCTTAGTGCAGTGTATTAGACATACTATACAGCAGAATCTGAAGGCAGCTCCTCATGCAATGAGGCACCTGGTTCTATTTTGTTAGTTTCTATACATACATATCCACAATAGAGGGAAAAAAGAAAAGAATTCCCTGATCATGCAAACCGTGTTATTGGTCATCATTTCTTTTTGTCTTTTGGTATAAGGTCATATCCTATTAGCATTCATTTACTATCTGATATATCCACTCATGGGAACTATATTTTGAACTCAAATCTAACCAGTCCTTTTCATTATTAACTAATTGAACTGCATGTGCATTTTTATAACTTACTGAACTTCTCTGAACCTACTTGTTAGGTCAGGATGATAACATGATCTGACTGCCTGATCATATTACATATACAAATTTCATACACATCCCAGTTAATTCCATAGGACAATTTAGGTAACTGGCTAACCTTTTTTTGCCCCCACAATAGTCTATCCAGTCTCCATTATATGTGTTGTTTGGTTAGAGGGCCAGGAAAAGCTGTCTCTACAGTTTCAGAGTTAGAAAGCCTTAGCAATTGTTCATACTTGGAGTTTTAAATTATAGCCTAGGAGGTGATGAGCAACTCTGATTTGTGAATGTGCCAGGAAAAGGGAAAGCAGTTTTGGAGTCAGTAAAGAGGGTAATAAACAGCAGCAACCAGGCACCCTAGACATGGATATGTGAAAGCTTCTGCCCCCTGTCCCATAAATCAGAACTAAGCAAAATGGTTGTTGGTCAAGTAGTACTACCTTGGGAGAGAAATTGGTTCTTGTTGTTTGTTTGAACTGAAATCCTTGTTTCTATCCCCAGGTTGTGTGGATAGCTGATCTTGATGTGAGCACAGTTTGTAACCATTTAAGAGCCAGATTGTGGCTGTTCTAATGGATGCACAAAGTAGTGGGGACCAGGCACCAAGAGTCTTTTCCCCATTGTACCAATGCCCAGGCACCTCTCATAATCACCTGAGTGCAAAAATTGTGTGAATCTAGCACCACCGTGTAGAGCAGATAGGCTAGTGCCATGGTTCTGTGCTAAGCCTCTGCCCTGGACAGCTGAGCTGGTGCAAGAAGAGAGCACACCACAATGTGCAAACATCCTTCCTGTTTGCATTCCTCCCAAAGCCCATGGACCCATTTTGTTTGAGTTATCCTGGCTCCTACTGCAGTACAGCCCTAAACATACTTACCCCCAATCCTTCCCAGTGCAGGCTTTAACTTAAATCCCTTGGTAGTCATTTATACATTAACAGTGGGGAAGAGAAGAGACTTGAATGTAAGAAGATAATGCTAAAATAAAATTGAAATATGTATATCCCTAAGAACAAACCCAGCAATTTTCGGTGTTCTAACCATTAATTTTAGGAGTTAAATTTCCCCTGCAGCTTCCTCTGTAGGAAATTAACATTGAAAACCAGTAAGTAGGATCTAGTTAGTTATCAAGGGGTATATATTCCTTACTCACCCACTGGAGACATTTCCGGGACACTGGCAACATACGGCCCATCTAGGAACTTTGGCTCATTATCATTAATGTCCTGCACTTTGATGATGAACTCTGATTCAGGCTCCAGTGGTTTCCTGGTGTCTATGTCCACAGCCTGAGCACGGAGTGTGTAGAAAGGCTTTTCTTCTCGATCAAGGCTCCTTATGGCATGTATGTCCCCTGTGGTCTCGTCAATGGTAAATACCGTGCCAGCTCCATCTCCTGAGAGGGTGTATTTAACAGTGCCCGCTCCCTTGTCCAAGTCAGAATGAAGCTTAACAGAAAAAAGAAGGGGAGGGGAATGGAGAGAAAAATATTAATGGGTCATTCTGTGCTGGAAGACAGCTAGATTATTTTGTGCCCTCTTAATGTCTTCAAGGTATAAGAGGAAATGGCTGGCAATATACCAAAGATAATTTTTATCAGTTACTAATATCTAGGAAGGAAGCATTTCAAAATCCTAACTAATTAGAGCCATGCAAATTCCTTGCCATAAAAGCTCCAATGCACCAGGTTTTGAATTTGACAACAAATTTAAACCTAAGCCCAAGTTCATCAGAAGGTTGCTACCACTTTAAGCAAACCTCAGCCAAGTTTAGAGCAAACATGAGCTGATTTGTGATTTTGTGTCAAACACATAACATTCATTTGGCTTTTACACACATGCAGATGGTTTGACTGAGTTTTGCTTTTAGATGATAGGTTTGTTTTAAACTCCAAACTTGGTTTAAAAGGCATAATGAATTCCATTTTGAATTTGGTATTATAACTTGGTTCTAAGCAAGCCAGGAAGCTGAAATTAGAACTCATTCAAGGTCAGATTCTGCCTTCACTTACACCCATGCCACCCCATTGATTTCAATGTTCAAATATTAATCATTTAGTACACTCCCTATTGTGAACTACAGTAGTTTCATTATACCCTGTGACACAGCAACCCCGTGGCAAAGGGCCCCCTGCTCTTTGCAAACATCTCTCACCTCAGACCTGACAATCTCACTACACCAAACACCTATCTTACAGGATATTTACCCATAAAGTATCTACGGAAAGCTTGTAACTTGTCCAGATTCAGAATCATTGCAAGATGTATGTATGGGTAATATTTTTAGGAATAAAATAAAATATGCTTTGTGGACTTGGAGTAAAAATTAGTCACTAGTGGATAACTAGCCTCGGTGATGGCCCTTTTGGGCAGGGAGAAGTTGTCCCCCTGCCCTATTTAGCTAGTGACGCAACGCAAAGCTCAATTGTTTAGCCTTGTGTGATACTAGGACTTTGCCTCTGGCGGTTTCCCAGTAAATGGCAAACAATCAAAACAACTTGCAGATAAAAAGAACTTTAGAACAAGAGAGAGATTCACCCTGTCTGTGACTGTAAACAAAAGACTCTTTTCAGTATAACACAGGGAGGGAGAAGCACTACGGACCCATTTGCTGGAATGGGGAAGCCCCCTGTGGAGCATTGGGCGGGAAGAGAATCATGAATATTTGTATTCTTGTTCCCGTGAAACCAGCCAACTCTGCAATAGACTGAACTTTGAGGGGAAACCTACTTTATTAGATAGGAAAGGTAACTATTGATACATGTAGATCCAGTTTGCTTTATTTTATTTTGCTTTGTATTGTAACCATGTATTTCCATCATTTTCTCTCATTTCTAGTTAAATCTGTACACTTTCTTTAAAAAAACAAACAAAAAAACCCCACCTACTTTTGTTTTATTGTAAGTGCTTAAATGTGCTGGTGATTTACAGAAGCGATGGTTTAAGGAGAAACTAGTAAACTCACCTCAATGAGCAGCGGTTGTTATGTTGGCGGAAGAAGCTCTCCTGCCGACACAGCTCTGTGCATACTGTGCATACATTATGCCGACGAAACTTATGTTGCTCTGGGGGCGGTGAGGGATGCGGGTTTCACACCCCTGAACAACATAAGTTTTGCCAGGATAAGTGGTGGTAGTGCAGACCTTATCTAAGTGATTTTCCCCACAGAGCCCTGGTCTACAATACAAAATTAATTCGGTATAACTATGTCTCTCAGATGTGAATAATCCACACCCTGGCAACACAGTTATATTTTCCTAACCACTGGTGTGGACAGCGCTATGTTGGTGGGAGAGCTTCTCCCACTGACATAACTACCATCTCTCGTGGAGGAGGAGTTAATAAGCTGTGACGAAGTGGGACTGTTCTTAATGTTTCCTCTGAATATTGTAGGGGTGCCTCAATTTCCCCTATGCCTTTCTTAAGTCTCTAGGTGGTGGCATAAGGGGGTGTAATTGTTGCAGAAAAAAGGGCCAATGTACATAAATAGCCAACACTCTGTCTCCTGGCAACTGATGGCCTGGGCCCTTCCCCCCTGCAAGGTGATAGCTAAAGGGTTGGAGAACAAAGGAATCAGGTGACCTCCTGTCCCGGGAAAGGGACAAAGCCCAGAGGAGGAGGGGCTGGAGGGTGAGTTGCGTTTGGACTGGCTGGGGACGTGGAGTGAAGTGCAGACATGGTTGTCTGGCTCACTGCCCCGCAAAATGGACCCGGCTGAGGGGTCCTGTTCTCTATACCTAAAAACTCTGTTTTAGACCGTGTTCTTGTCATCTAATAAACCTCTGTTTTACTGGCTGGCTAAGAGTCACATCTGACTGCGAAGTTGGGGTGCAGGGCCCTCTGGCTTCCCCAGGACCCCGCCTGGGCGGACTTGCTGTGGGAAGTGCACGGAGGGGCAGAGGATGCTGAATGCTCTGAGGTCAGACCCAGGAAGGTGGAAGCGGTGTGAGCTTTTTGCTCTGAAGACAGTCTGCTCACAGAGAGCAGACTTCACCTGGGGAAGTCCGTGCCTGGGGACTCCATGACATAAGCCTACAGAAGAACTCTCTCCTATCGACTTAGAGCATCTTCACTACAAGTGCTACAGCAGTGCAGCTGCATCAGTGCAGTCATGCCACTGGTAAATCTGTAGTATAGACCTGCCCTCAGAGGGAAAATTGGGGAAAACTCAGTAGTTTCTGCCTCACATTTCCACACATCTGCTAGCCCATTGGAATGGTAATTGTTTGTTCTTAATGGGAGAAAAACCCAAACTGCAAGATTTCTGGGTCAAGGACCATCTTTTTTGGTGTTTGTTTGAATTGTGCCAAATAGAATGGGGCTTTAATTCCTGTTTGTGGGGACAGGAACTACCACAATAGTAACAATAAATAATATCATCAGGTTTCTTTTCTACATGCTGACAGCGGATTCACACTCATATTTAAGATGAAGCTAGAAAACTTTAACAGATGCCCAAAGTTATGTCACAGTAGTATGAACTCCCAGGTTTGCCATAGACTTAAACAAGGGGGGACATTTTAGATGCTCCTAGTCCCATCTAATAAGGGGTAAGCAGATCTGCTGTAATGGACATAGCCTGGAAAAGAGCTTTCAAGATGCCTCAGAGTGCATTTCCTTAAACGGTGCACTCAGGAGATTATGGCTATCGGCTTTATTTATATTATGCATTGTAGAAGGCAAAACACAATAGAGAAAACATGGAAAGTGAAAGTAAATTATACCAAAAATGCATTACTGAGAACTAGCTAAATGGTTTCAGTAATGGAGCAAGAAGCTGAGTTACAAAGGAAGCGGTAAAGACATTTATTAACATTTATAGCCCATTCTTCTCTTGAAATTGAATCTAGGTCCTTGTGACTCAGAAGGAGGTCATGGTTTGTGGGATAGAAAGAGCACTCACACACAGTTTTCCCTTCCTAAGCTTTTTTAGCCCATCCCTGCTCTTCTCTGAGGTAATGGGTACCTGACCCTGCATCTAGCTACCCTATAGGTGGGGTTTAAATTACCTCACCACTTTAGCATAGTGTTCCTCCCATTGTGTGCTAGGTATAGACATGTTATTAAAGCTAATGTTAAAAAAACATTATGTAATACACAGGTTGAGAAAAGTGTCTGTACATCTGGGTATAGTGCTTAGATTATCCATAAATACAGAGTTTGTTTGTAAAAGTCATATGCTAGAGTACATAATCAGCAATAACCCAAATTTAGGTGAATACATTTAACAATACAGTTTAGGTATTAGTTTCAAAGGCAGCTTATCCATCCACTGCTAGGAGTCAAACATCCCCTTTGTTTGTGAAATGACAAGATAATAGCTCCAGCCTTGAGATAATTAATGTCTCTCTCTCATCACTTTAATTTAAGTGGTTAGTTCACATGCAACCTGCTGCACCATTATACTTTGGTCAGTTACAGCTTCTTTCAAATGTAGGTTTAAAGTCATTTGAGGAGTACAAGAAGAGAAAACCAAAATGAAAATGAATAAAACAGAAAAATCTTAGTATGGCACACAGTGAGAATTGAAACACTTTCTGACATGTATGTAACTGAAATTAAGGCTTTTTTTTTTTTTTTTTTTGGTATGTGTACCATGTGATCTAGGCTGGTCTGGTAGCTATGATAGAGGGAATGACACAAGCCAAATGTTTATGGTTGGGAAACAGGAATTTGCCAACAGGGAGAGCCACACCAACCATAATTTCTCTTCCCCTTCCTCTGGCTTTAGATCAGGGATGGCTGACTGTGATTCCTATTTGCCAGTTGGAGAATCCATGACAGGCTAATAATGGATCAGACATCACAGTACATGGTAGCTATGAGTCTCCATTCTACCAGAGAGGAATGAAAAAATTGCTGAGCAGAAAACTGGCCATGGGAGAAAAATATAAAGTATGGCGGCCAGGGGTGTGTGTGTGTGTGTGGGGGGGGGAATAAAGGTTTCTGAGAGAATGGTCGAGTGAAAAGAAGCTTATATTGGAAGAGAAGCACAACCGCAAATTAATGTGGTTCGTTCACATGCAATAGGCCTTGCAAGCATTATACTTGGCAGCATTACAAGTTCAGTTGTCAAAAATATGTTCACTGCATTCCATACTAGCAATGGGCTAGATCACCAGTCGGTGTAGCTCCATCAATTTCAATAGAGTGATGCTGTTTTACACTAGCTGAGGATCAGGCCCATTACATTTATTTCATCAAGCTGTTTTATAATTTGATTTTGCTGATGAAATCCAACATTGGGCAACGGGCAGACCTAGCACTTACTTTCAGTCTATTTTGAGCTATGCAAATTATGGGGTGATTTGTAGATACACAGCATCTCCCTAAATATGATAAACAATCACTAATCTCAACTGAACCAAATTCTCCAGCAGTAAAAGAGAAAGCACATTAACGAGCAGCATCACCTAGCCTTAATACCACTATCTGAGTTCCAATTCACT